GGGGCCGGAACACCAGAGGGGCGCTCGGACCCCTGCCTGAAGCTGGCCACGAGGACCCGCCCAGAGAGGCCTCCTCCCGCACCCGAGAGAGGGGGGCCCTTCTCATCTCTGGACCCGACACGGAGGTCTGCCCACAGGCTTGGCCGGCCCCACGGTCCTTCCCTCGAGTCAGGGGCCCCGAGTCTTATGGCACTTCTGCACGGACTGTCCACACTCTGCCACAAGGAGCACAAAAATGCATAGTTTTTCCTTTCCCTTGGCCTTCACTCCCTGGGGCCTCCGTGTCGTTCGAAACTTTACCAACGCACACATGCGTGCTTTCCGCTCTTGCCTTTTGCTCTAGGCTCCGCTGCAGACTGGCGACAGGTGAGGAATGCAATCTTTCTCCCCTGCACATGGTTCAGGAAAAAGGGTGGCCTTGACCTTCCATAGCAAAGCGGTTTTAAACGCAGTCGGAGTCTCGTTGAGACCGGGATTCAGAATCTCGGAAATATCGGCAAATCCCGGCGTGGTGCTTCAGCGGCCGCCCCTGAGATCCCACCTGTGGAGGAAGCCTGGGCTCACAGACTGAGTAGATGATTCTTAAGAGAGCAGAGCCGGCAGCACGGCCGGTAAAAGGAGATTTTTATGCAGGAACTATGGAAGCAGTGGGAAGGACCTCCACTAGCTGGACAACAGGGCCACCAGGCTGGGCAGCTTTCAAAAATTTTTGGGAGATGGGTCTCGCTATGTTGTCCAGGCTGGTTCTCAAACTGGGCCTGAAGCCATCCTCTGCCTCAGCTCCCGAGTAGCTGGACTACAGGTGTGTATCAAGACGCCTGGCTAACTTTTTAAAATTTCAGCATATTATAGTGACAAATTATGGGTATAAATTTTAAGGTTGGCGTATTAATGCCTTGCCGCCTACAGGTGTGTATCAAGACACCGCTGGCTAACTTTTAAAAATATCATCATATTATGGGTACAATTTTAACGTGCGTTTATCCCCTTGCCGCCCCTCCCTCACAAGTCTGAGTTTCAATGGTGACCAGTCCCCCAGACGGTGCACATTCTCACGTCGTTTGTATGTGTAACCTGGCCCCCTCCAACTGCCCAATACCCAATAATGTAATGTCTATGTGTCCCTTTCGTCTGCCATTATACCAATTTGCTGCCGAGAATGCTGCTAACCTTTAAATGTTCGTGGATGATGGTCGCTGCTATGTTGGTCCAGGCTGGTCTCAAACTCCTGGTGCAAGATCCGTCGCCATCCGCAGCCTCCCAAACGTTTACTGAGGTCACGGCGTGACCAGCCGCCACCCGGCTAGCGCTGGACTTGATGACGGATTGCGAGTTCTATTTTAAATTATCTGGCAACCTGCGAGTGCCCATTAATAATCAGCTCAGCCCAGCCTTGGCGGGCTAGTAGGAAACGCCGTGTGTGGTGTTTGAAAAGTGGCTGGTTTTCCAATCCATGGAGAGGTGTGGCATTGGTCACCCGGCGCGTTTTTGAGAGACAAGAATGCAGGCGCTGCCCTGGAGACTGAATGATGCTACACCTGCGGTGCAAGCTGGTTGTGCACATGGTGTTGAGCTTTCTGTTCATCACTCACTGCAGACAGCAAGCCCTGACAGGGCATTGGCAGCGGTGCAAGTCACCCAGACCCCTTCCGGCTTTGCGTCTCCCGGGGTCATCTGGCCCCCACACTCCGGCTAGGCCTGGGCTCTGCCCTCCAGTTGCTCTACCCACCACGATCTATAGTTTGACCTGTTTTGGTGATCAGTATGAATAGTCAGCCCAGCACTTGGGAGGCCGGAGGCGGGAGCGCTCGATCAGAGTTCGGAGACCAGCTCTGAGCAAGAGCGAGACCGTCTGCTACTAAAAATAAAGAAATTAATTGGCCAGCTAAAAACGTTATTTAGAAAAAAAAAATCAGCCGGCGTGTGGTGCATGCCTGTGGTCCCAGCTACTCGGGGAGGCTGAGCAGAGATCGCTTGAGGCCAGGGTTTGAGGTTGCTGTGAGAGAGGCTGACGCCACGGCACGTCACTCTAGCCTGGCTCAGAGCGAGACTCTGTCTCAAAAACAAACAAACAAAAAATTATAATAGTTCAGGCTCTGCGTGCCCAGAACACGCCCGCAGACGGGCGGTTTAAACTACGACGTTTGTTCCCCCACGTCCCTGGAGGCTGGGGTGAGTCCCGATCCAAGGGTTCAGGGCTGTTCCTCCTGGTCCTCTCTCCTGGGCGTGTAGACGCCGTCCCCCCCTGTGGTCCTACGGCCAACCCTCTTTGACTGTGTCCTTGTCTCCTCTGCTTATAGGAACACCGGTCCTTGTTGTATAGCGGACCCACCCTGGTGCCTCAGTGGTTACCTCAATCACCTCTCTAACAAGGACCCGTGTCCAAAACACGGCCGCCGGTCTGAATCCTGGGGAGTCCGGGCTCCAATCTGCACATTGAGGTCACAATTCAGCCGTGGACGGCTTCTGTTTCTGTGGACGACAGGCGGGGCTGACAGTGAGAAATGCACTTTGAATCACGATCCACGCGGCCTCAGGAGCCAGGCCTGTCTGTGCATGCCACGCGTGCTCTGCTCCCAGTCCTCTCGTTTTGCCGCGACGCCACTTTTCACAGGGAGGGAGGAACGCAAACACTGACAGGAACCGGACGCAGGCGGAGCGGGCGGCATTTGTCCCCCTGGGGGAAGGCTCAGGGCCGGCCCTGCTGCTGCGGGGAGCACCCAGCTCCTGAGCACAAGCCCGCCTCTCCCAGCCCGAGACTCTCCCGGTCGCCGTGCTCGGCGCCTCTGCCCGGAGCAGCCAGCGTGTGCGGCGTGGACCGCGGTGCGCCCGCCTCCAACGCCGGCGGGCTCCGCGCAGGTGATCCCGTGTGTGGGGCTTGTTGCACCAAGGGAAACGGGCCTTGAAGTGAGTACAAACAGCGTGTGCTTTCCGCGGGAGGTGGTGCAGGGGGTGGGCTGTTTGGGGCAATTTGTGGCTCCCTTCCATGCCCCCCATAAAAGGTGTGGAAGCTGCACACGGATATGGACGCAGGTCTCCAGGTGAGCTCGGCTGAGGTGGCAAGCTTGAGATCCCTTTTCCGCTTCCAAATGCCTGCTGCGGGGCTGTGGCAATGTGCATGTTGCAAATACACACACGATCGATGCATGCACCACGCATGCACCACGATGGACGCACGACAGCATGCCCACACACGCACATGCACGCACACCTGCCGTGCATCCACATACATGCACACATATGCACCACATGCACGCACCACACATGCACCACACATGCGCACGCATGCTCACATGCTTGCAAAAATGCACCGGGCCGTGTCCTCAGCGGCTTAGCCAGCCCGCACCCTGCTGGCCGCGGCAGCAGAAGACCCCGGCTGCAGGCTGCCGGGCCCGACAGCCCCGTGCACCTTGACACCGTCTCGCTTGATTCTCTCTTGCGATCCTGCGAGGCACAGCGGTGCCCGGCACCAGGCGAGTTCCCTGTGCTCCAGGGAAGGCCCACTGAGTCTTCGAGGGTGAGCTGGTCGGCTTCCCCGTTCCCAGACGTTGGAAGAGACGAGAAGGCCCGTCCCCCCTTGGCCACCCACCCGGCCTCAGAGATGAGAGGGATCTTTTCTGTCGCTCAACCACCCAGTTGCTGCGAGTCAGACAGCCACGGACACGCTCGGTGATGGCACAGTGGGCACCACGTGTCACAGGCGAGGGGCTGCCTCTTGGCGGTCCAGGAGCATCCCTCACGGGCCGGGATTAACTTCGCTTTTTTTTTTTTTTTTTTTTGAGAAGAGTCTCGCTCTGTTGCCCGGGCTTACAGGTGCCGTGGCATCAGGCCGTCTAGCTCACAGCAACGCTCAGACTCCTGGCTTCAGTGATCCTCCTGCTCAGCCTCCACCCAGTAGCTGGGAGTACAGGTGTGTACCACCATGCTCCGGTCATTTTTTCTCGGTATATATTTTTAGCTGGCCATTAATTTCTGTTCTATTTTTTTTTTAGTAGGAGATGGGGTGCTCGCTCTTGCTCAGGCTGGTTGGAACTCCTGACCTCGAGCGATCCTCCCGCCTCGCCTCCCATGGATGCTGGGCATGCAGCGTGAGCCGCCGCCGCCGCGCCCGGCCAGATTAACTCTTTCAGTGGCCCAGGTCAGATGGGGCTTGGAGATCTCCCCAGGAAGATCTGTGCCGGTGCACGCACATGCTCTGTGGATAGACGTCCCCCCAGCTTCTTGGGGCTGGCGTTTGAACTGAGCCCTTCCGTCCTGGGAAACCTGAACGGCGTTTACCGGGGCCACCGTGCCCGGCTTCGTTGCTAGGCGTCATCTGTCAGGCCCCCGACTTCTCTGGAGGTCCCGGCTCTAAAACCCCACCGCCTTCCCGGTGGAAAACCCTGGGTCTCCAGAGAGAGAGAGAGGTGGTCACTCTTTTATGAAGCAAGCCCAAGGAAAGTCAGAGGAGTTGATTGACATTGCAGTGTGCGGGCCACGCCTGGGTCTCCCTGCCCTGGGGGGCTCCTGGGGGATCGGCGCTGGGCCCCTTCCCCACTGGGTCCCCCCAAGACAGACTCCCAGGCCTCTCTGCCGGGTCTCCCTGCGTGAAATGAAAGAACGCCGTGGACGTGGAGGTGGGCGGTCCGTTCTCAGCCGAGCAACAGCGGAAGCTCAGCTGCATCAAGACTTCCTGGGGAGATGGGCTGATAAGCCGGGAAACCCCGAGATGCGGGGCGGGCCGGGGGGTCCGATCGCCGGGGCTGACTTAAGGCGAAGCCCCCGCGATGCACTGAGACCCTCATGGCTCCTCTCTCTCTCTCTCTCTCTCTCTCTCTAACCAACGGACAAAACCGTGAAGCTGCTCCTTCCGTATAAAGGCAAAGCTCGCAGAGGTCTAAAGGTGCAGCAGGCAGGGTGCGCTCTGTGCTGCGAAATGTTCCCGGGCCGGGGGTGGGGGGGACAGGAGGGCGTCACAGGTGCACCTGCTTGGTGCAAGAGGCACAGGAGAGGGGCGTTACCTGGAAGTTTCCTTGGTGCTGCTCGAAGAGCCCGGAGAAGGAGGACTTGGGGTCGGGCACGGTGGGTACCAGGAGATTCCTCACTCTGCAAGACACGAGGGCGGCGGGCTGCTCGGGTGGGCTGCAGCCCCCCGGGGCAGGGCCTGTGTCCCCAACCCCCCAAGTGCCTCGGGGACCAGCCTCCGGGTCCACATGGCGGCCCCCGCTGCTAACCTCCAGGAGATTATGGGGTGACGGGGTCAGAGCCACGCCGTTGCCATGATACCGGCTGTCACTGCACCCCATGCGCTAAACCTGCTCCTTCCTCCCGTCCCCAAGGCAACCCCATGCATCGGTGACTCACATCTCAGCTGGTTCGAGGCCCCGGCCTCGACTGGGAGGAAATCAAATGAAGCGTCTCTGAGCCGTGTCAACCTATGACGGGGCCACCTCTGACATGGCTTAACTCGGGGGCTCAGCTCAGACCCCCCAGCCCCGTGCCAGCTCCGGACGGGAGGTCCAGGCTTCTCGCTGCCTCACTCCAGCCGTCGCTACGGAAACCTCATCCTGAGCAAACAAAAGTGGTACCCACCAGGCACCTCTGGGCACCCAGTGCCCGGGCGCAAATTGGTTTCCGCAAAGATGGGATTCGAGGTGGTGAAATTGTCGTGTGGGAGGTTACCGGAAGAAGGTAGGTTTGGAAAGCCGTCTACCGTCTCAGAGAATATGATTTTATTTTATTTTATTTTATTTTTGCTAGGCCTACAGGTGGATTTATGAAGCTAAACATCCAGGTATAGGTCTAACAAAGACGGCGTTAAATCTTGCGCTATTATTCTCACTGTCCTCGCCATATCGCCTGGGTTTTAACGGGTCTTGGTGAAAGTGAAAAGGTGTTTTTTTTTGTTTGTTTTTTTGAGACGCAGAGTCTCGCTCTGTCGCCCGGGCTAGAGTGCCGTGGCGTCAGCCCAGCTCACAGCAACCTCAAACTCCTGGGCTCAAGCGATCCTCCTGCCTCAGCCTCCCGAGTGGCTGGGACTATAGGCATGCGCCACCATGCCCGCCCGGCTCACTTTTTCTATATATTTTTAGTTATCTGGCTAATTTCTTTCTTTCTTTCTTTCTTTCTTTCTTTCTTTCTTTCTTTCTTTCTTTCTTTCTTTCTTTCTTTCTTTCAATTTTTTTTTTTTTTAGTAGAGATAGGGAGTCTCGCTCTTGCTCAGGCTGGTCTCCAACTCCTGACCTCGAGCCATCCTCCCTCCTCGGCCTCCCAGAGTGCTGGGATCACAGGCGCGAGCCGCCCGCCGCCGCGCCCGGCCTCAAGTGAGAAGGTGTTTCATGCACCTGTTGCCCCCACGATGCCAGACTGATGCCACGCGGCTCAACGGGGGTCTTCCCGGGCCGCGAGGTGGGTTTCCATGGCAACGTAGCACGCACGGATGCTGCTGCATGCAGAAGTAACTTTTCCTAGCGAATGCTCCGGGCATCTCCGCACCTTTTGTATCACGTCCTTGTCGAGTTTCGTACAAAGTGGACATTGCCAGCAGGGGCGGCCAAGGCTCGGGGAAGTGACCACAGGGGGGTGACTCACTCTCCTCCCACTTGGGACACCCGCTTAGCGGCCCACGCGTGTGTGGCGTGGCTACAAGGCGTGTCCTTACCTCCCCAGCTTCCACAGGGACAGCAGGACGAGACACAACGTCAGCAGGGCGACCAGGCTGCAGATTAAAATAAATCTGGGGAATCCGGGGCTGATGGGCACGTCCGGGCACAAATCTGAAACGGAACGGAATGCCTGCCGTCACTTTCCGGCGTGGTGTAGTAGACGCCACGCCTACTCACCCACGCCCAGGTTTTTTGTTTTTGTTTTGTTTTTCCACTTTGTGAATGCCGGTGTCAGCAAAACTTTTTTTTGTTGTCACTTTTAATTTTTTTTTTTTATTATTTCAGCATATTACGGGGTGCAAAGGTTTAGGTTGCATATACAGCCTTTGCCCAGCCTGAATTTATTGCAGTGAGAAATATCCTGGAAAGAGAAGCAACGTCTCTGGGCAGGAATGCGTCCTGCAGCCACTGCCAGGGGGTATGGAGGGCTCAATACACACACACACACACACACGCACACACACACACACACACGCACACACGCTGCCCCTGGGAGCTCCAGGTTGCCGGGGGGTCTTTGGGGACTATCGGGGCTTCGTTTTGGTTATCAGTGGCTTTGCACGTTGCATTGCTTCCTCCCCCCTCAAAAAGAAAAAACAAAAAGGGTATGTCAACGTCCTAAATCTGGAACCCGTGATGCAAACTTATTTGGAGATAGCATCTTTGCAGATACACTTTAGATGCACATTAAAGTGAGACCATCCCGGATCAGGGAGGGCCCTAAATGCCGCGACAGGCATCCTCTTGAGAGACACGGCAGACGTGGAGGAGAAGCCATGTGGAGGCAGACGGAGGAGGCAGAGGTGGGAGTGAGGCTGCGGCCACAAGCCCAGGGACACCTGGAGCCCCCGGGAGCCGGGAGGGGCGGGAAGGAGCCTCCCCTGGAGCCCGTGGAGGGAGCGCGGCCCCGAGACTCCCGCGTCCCACCCTCTGCGTCCAGCCCCCCCGTTCCGGGAGAGACGCCCCCGCCAGGGACCTCGGGAAGTCTCCCGTGTTCTCAGGCAGGACCCCGCCCCATCGCCCCCTAAGCTCAGGACGCCACGCCTGGGAAATGGGACGACCCTTACCGCTGGGCAGGCCTCCATACCAGCAGGACACCTCCGACCAGTCCCCGGGGTAGGAGTCGGGGCCGTAGGCGGCCTCCGTGGTCTTCACCCTGGCCCGGAGGCAGTAGCACTTCTCAGCGTCCAGACCTTCTATGTGGACATTGCAGGTTTCCTCCTCCTTGGACTGGGGAAAGACAGGCACACGCGTGCGCAAGCATGCACGGTGATTAGTGACTCAGTGACAGCGTGCAGACTTTGTACCTTAGACGCCCAGGAGCTGGCTGAAGTTCCCTGGATCCGGGCACTCACAGAACATTCCCCGCTCTGCCCAGGTCTTTATGCCAAAAAACGGCGATGGCAACGGACTCAGCAGCGAGGCAGACACAGGTGGCATGGGAAGAGGAGGGGAGGATGCAGACACGCACGGGGAGGAGAAGGGCGTGACAGGCTCTCACACCTACAGCCCAAGCGATGCCAACTCGAGTTGGCATCTTGAGTTCAGACTTCTGGGTTCCCAAACTGGGACAGCGCGAAACCTTGCATTACCTTAAACCACCTACTGTGTTTCCCCAAAAATAACACAGGGTCTTCTATTTAGTTCTCCTCAAGAAGACACCCTAGTACGGCTTATTTTCAGGGGATGTGTTTGTTTTTTTTTAAGGACGGTGCAACCTTCTACATTTATTCAAACAGAGTGAAGTCGTCTTCTTCTGGAACATCATCCTCACTCTCCAAACCCCGAATCCCATCCTGAATGTCTTGCGACTCTGTTTCCTTTGGAGCCACCGGCCCCGATCTCTCCTGTCGAGCACTAGAGCTCTCACGGGGCGGATGAGAAGGGCTGCTCGTGTTCTTTCCCGCTCCGCGACGACACGCACGGGTTGTGCAGACACGCTGCGCAGCCACGCCCGTCACTAGGGCTGATTTTCATAGCCACGCCCACCACTAGGGCTGATTTTCGTAGCCACGCCCATCACCAGGGCTGATTTTCATAGCCACGCCCACCACTACGGCTTATTTTCATAGCCACGCCCACCACTAGGGCTGATTTTCATGGCCACACCCACCACTAGGGCTCATTTTCACAGCCACGCCCACCACTGGGGCTGATTTTCATGGCCACGCCCATCACTAGGGCTGATTTTCATAGCCACGCCCATCACGTGGGATGATTTCCATAGCCACACCCATCACTAGGGCTGATTTTCATAGCCACGCCCATCACTAGGGCTGATTTTCATAGCCACGCCCGTCACTAGGGCTGATTTTCATAGCCACGCCCACCACTAGGGCTGATTTTCATAGCCACGCCCATCACTAGGACTGATTTTCATAGCCACGCCCGTCACTAGGGCTCATTTTCATAGCCACGCCCAGCACTAGGGCTGATTTTCGGGGTGGGGCTTCTACTGAGCACATGCTTAGACATCCTGCCAGGGCTTATTTTATGAGGAGGTCTTATCTTGGGGGAACCACGGTAGTCAGTGAGGAATTGATACAGCAGCCTCTGGATACACAGGCACACGGCCACAACAGGTGACATGTCTTGTTGTGTCCTTGCGTCTCCAGGGGAGATATTAGGGCCTGGGTCCCCTCTGGGTGGTTTGAGTAAAATCCATAAGCGGAGCTTGGAAACACACGCCTGAGTCTTGCAGCACCCTTCTGGGACTGACCTCCAGGGTATGTCCCTGCCCTAGTTACCATCCCCATGGGCCACCTGCCTGGGAAACAGCTTCCCAAATGGCAAGGTGCCTTTTCCCCGAGCTCCTTCCCTCCACGAGTGGCCGGTTGTGTCCCAAAGGAGGGGGGAGGCATGCGGCCGAAATCAGAGGAAGTGAAAGGTAAAAAGAGGCGAGATGCTTGAACAAAAGGCAACCTGTCCCCCGGAGCTCAGGTCTCCAAGAGACGGTCCCAGGGGACTTGCAATTCACGCCGACAGCTTTGTAGGGGGTGGTGCCCACACAGCAGACCTGACTTGCGGGTGGGTTTCCTCCTGTCCATCCACGGCCCACATTGGCCTTCCAAAGCTGAGGACTCTGCCTTTAGCGTAACTTGAGTCGTGCAAAAGCAAACCCATGCCAGACACCCAGCGAGGGCAGGCTGGGCCGTCCGTACGTGGACAGAATGAAGGTCTGTCTGTGGAGAGCTGGCAAGCCTGGACCACAGGTCATGAGGCTACCCGACCAGGCAGTAGGTGAGGACATGAGTTCAAGATCCCTCTGGTCCGTGATGCACTGCTTACGTGTGAACACTTTGAGTTAGCTTCCTTAATGGTATCACAAGAGCTCAGGGCACCCCAGCACTCCACTATTTAGAGAATCAACATCTCCCCCAAGATGGAAGATGTAGGATGATCACAAAGATTCACAACCTAGCTGGTGCTAGGACTTGAAATACAAGAGGATCCAGTCGCAGTAGACCAGAGGCACTGGGTCTCAAGAGTGAAAGAGAAAGCATAACCATTACGATAACCCTAAACCTAACCCTAATCTTATCCCTAAGACTAACACTAACACTAACCCTAATCCTAACCAGAACACTAACCATAACCATAACCCAAACCCTAACTCCAATGCTAACCCTAACCCTAACCCTAAACCTAAGCTAATCTTATCCCAAAGACTAACACTAACACTAACACTAATCCTAACCCTAACCCTAACCATAACCCTAACCCTAACTCCAATGCTGACCCTAACCCTAACCTTAGCTCTAGCCCTAACCCTAACGCTAACCGTAACCCTAAGCCTAACCCTAACCTTGACCCTAAACCTAACCCTAACTCTGTTATAACCACTGGGGAGTGTTGTATTGTGTGCAGCCAGTCAATGGCCAGATATGGTTGTACAGTGTGTGACTCTGTGTGTGTGTGTGTGTGTGTAGGTAGAAAGATACATAAGATAAAGAGACAAAGAGAAAGAGAGATAGAGAGAGACAGAGAGAGAGTGGCAGAGAGACAGAGAAACTGAGAGAGCGAGAGAGACAGAGAAACAGAGAGAGTGAGAGACAGAGAGAGACAGAGAAACAGAGAGAGAGAGAGACAGAGAGACAGAGAGAGAAACAGAGACAGAGAGAGACAGAGAGAGAGAAAGAGACGGAGAGAGATAGAGACAGAGAGACAGAGATAAAGAGACAAAGAGACAGAGAGAGACAAAGAGAAAGAGAGATGGAGAGAGAGACAGAGAGAGAGGCAGAGAGACAGAAAAACTGAGAGAGCGAGAGAAAGAGGGAGACAGAGAAACAGAGAGAGTGAGAGACAGAGAGAGAGAAACAGAGAGAGAGAGAGAGAGAGAGAAACAGAGACAGAGAGACAGAGAGAGAGAAACAGAGACAGATAGACAGAGAGAGAGAAAGAGAGAGATAGAGACAGAGATAGAGACAAAGAGACACAGACAAAGAGAGACAGAGAAATACAGAGACAGAGAGACAGAGAGAGAGACAGAGAGAGAGAAAGAGACAGAGAGACAGAGAGAGAGACAGAGAGATACAGAGACAGAGAGACAGAGAGAGAGGGGATGGGGGACCGGAACGCAGGCAGGCAGGCAGACAGGGAGAGGCAGCCGCAGCCGTGGGCAGCGCCCGCCCCAGCGCTCACCCCCCGGGGACCCCCACTCCCCCCGTGGCCCTGAGCGCCGCCCGACTCCCGACCCACCTGCCAGGCGGCGTCGAAGTTGCTTCGGAGCTGGACCTCGTAGAGCAGCCCGCCGTGGGCCAGGCCGGGGCAGGTGACCGCCACCTTCTCCTGCTGCCACTGGAAACTCAGGTTCCTCGGGGCGCCGGGCTTCACTGAGAAGGGGACCGGGCGGCGCGGTCGGTCACCCCCTGCCGCCGTGCCTGGCGGGGTTCGGGGTTGGCGCCTCCCCCCTCCCCCCCTCCAGCCGGGGCGGAGGCGGGAGGAATGTCCCGGGGGGCCCTGAGGTCACACGGGGTGCCACGGACAGAAACCGCATGGAAAACCCGTGTGTCTGCCACGGCGTGACCTGTGTCCCCCTTATAAGAATGCGTGTGTCACAGCTCTAACTCCCCGTATCTCGGAATATTTAGAAATGGGGTCCGCTGGGCACCCTTGCTGGTGGGAATGTCTTCGCCGGAGACTTCGAGAAATGTGTCGGTATAAATTCTGACACTGGGGCTGGCTTGGATTTTCTGGGGGAACCCCCTACCCCCCCCATTAAAAAAAGCTGTTATTAGAACACTTTCAGGAGAATTAGAGAAATACGGGGTATGCAACGGAAAAAAATAAATAAATAAACAGTGGCATGCAAAATGGTGACTCTTCACTAAAAAAATGCTGGGTGATAATATTATAGAGTACAATATCAATTTGTAAACATCGTATGTTTATAGAAACAGTTTTGTAAACTAAATATGTTTATAAGACAGAATATATGTTTTATGGGTCCTAAACAGGCCATGAAACCTTTCTCTTTTTTTTTTTTTGAGCACAGAGTTTCACTCTGTTGCCCAGGCTAGAGTGACCGTCGGTCTTTGCCGGTGGGCGTCTGCCTCCGCACAGCAACCTCAAACTCCTGGGCTCAAGCAATCCTCTGGCCCCTCAGCCCCCGAGTAGCTGGGGACTACAGGCGTGCGCCGGCCAGACGGCCGGCTAATTTTTTGCTACAATGATTACTATTTTAGGTTGGACCAATTTAATTTCTTTCTATTTTTCGTAAGAGGCAGGGAGTTCTGCTCTTGCTCAGGCTGGTCTCGAACCTCTGACCTGAGCGATCCTCCCGCCTCAGCCTCCCAGAGTGCCGGGGTGACAGGCGTGAGCCCCTGGGCCCGGCCAAAACCTTACTCTTTAGCAAAGTTTTAATGGTAGCTCTCTCTGCGGCTAGGAAAATGTAAATTATTTTATTTTCGTGCTTATGCCTGTATACACACACACACATATATATGCACTTATTGTGTTGTGTTATTTGCTGTTCCCTGTCTGTTTGAAATATTGCATAATAAAAATAGCATGTGGGAATATGAGCGCTCTCTGGGATTTCTACTCAATTTTGCTGTGAACTTAAAATTGCTCTAAGATAAGTTTTATTGGAAATATATAAAAAATAAAAAATAAATAAAAATAGGATCATTAGGGGCGTGATGAGTTAAGGTGAGATCAGTGTCGTATCAGCAAAACAAACCTCTCAGTCAGATTTGTTTAGAACATCCAATGGTTAAAATGGATTTGAGGGCGTGATGGGTCGTACTTGTGATCCCAGCACTCTGGGAGGCCAAGGCAGGAGGAGGATCACTTGAGGCCAGGAGTTTGAAACCAGCCTGGGCAACATAGTGAGACCCCCATCTCTTCAAAACATTAAGAAAACTTCGCCGGGCGTGGTGGCTCGCGCCTGTAATCCCAGCACTCTGGGAGGCCGAGGCGGGAGGATCTGTTGAGGTCAGGAGTTGGAGACCAGCCTGGGCAATATATCGAGACCCCCGTCTCTACCGAAAATAGAAAAATCAGCCGGGCGTGGTGGTGCATGCACCTGTAGTCCCAGCTACTCGGGAGGAGGCTGAGGCAGGAGGATCGCTTGAGCCCAGGAGTTGGAGGCTGCTGTGAGCTGGGATGACACCACGGCACTCCAGCCTGGGTGACAGAGCCAGACTCTTCGTAGTCGGGGCCAGAGAGGGGGACCCCCGTTTCCGTGGTGCCCTGGGGGAAAGAGCTGGGGCCTTGGCACTTACGGTAGAAGCTGGCCCACTGGCTGTGCGTGAACAGGGCGTGTGTCGCATTCCTGATGGAGAAGTGCAGGACTTGGTCTTGGAAGTCCAGGATGCAGCCGGCAGTGAGGCCGCGCCGAAGAATGTAGTGGGTGCATTGGCCGTACGCCTCCCCGCTGTCGAATCTGGGGTACAACACACGACCGTTGAGCCACAGGGCGGCCTACAAAATAGCATCTGGACACATCCGACGGCCACCCCGTCCCCCCACGTCTGTGCCACGGACTCGGGTCCGGGTCCCTCCTCACTGCCTTGAAGGCTCCTTCCTTACAGCCCGAGCAAGGCGTGGCCCTAACAGAAATGCGTCCCCTCTTGCAAATGCCAAACCCCCGGAATGTCTCCTGCTGTGGGTCGCACGGTGGCCCTCCAAACGGCATGCCCCAATCCCACGGGGGACTTTATTTGGAAATAGGGTCTCTGCAGATGGGATTAGTGAAGGATCTAGAGATGAGACCACCCTGGATTGGGGAAGTCCCTAAATGCAGCGACAGGTGTCCCCGTAAGAGACGGCAGAGGAGATGCAGACGCGGAGGAGAAGCCACGTGGAGGCAGACGGAGGAGGCAGAGGCGGGAGTGAGGCTGCGGCCACAAGCCCAGGGACGCCTGGAGCCCCCGGGAGCCGGGAGAGGCGGGAAGGAGCCTCCCCTGGAGCCCGTGGAGGGCGCGCGGCCCCGAGACCCCCGCGTCCCACACTCCCGGGCTCCGGGACTCCGGGAGGGGATGAATCTCCGCGAATCCAAGCTGCCTACTTTGTGGTACTTTCGCAAGCAGCTTCGGCAAACTAATACAGGTGTGATTTAGTCTGCAGAGGAACGGAATCTCTGATTTAGGGAGATTTAGGGAGAGGGGCAGGACCTTGAACAGGGACATGCCAAGATCATGCATCCTTCTACTGCTCCTTTGCAATACTGAGAAGCTCAGCACCGGCCCGAGACCGGCTTCTGAAGCAGCACTCGCAGCCAAGCGGGGACTGGCCACCAACACTCGCCCACGTTGCAGAAGAGAAAACTGAGACTTGCGAAGAGCTCAAGTGAGTCGTGTGTGTGTGTGTGGCCGGCTGGAAAATGCAGCACTTTCTTTTATCTTTTTCCCTGCTGTGGGTGTTATTTTCCGAATGCGTTCATCTTGAGATCGCCCTGTGCTTTTTTCCTCTTTCCGGTTTATCTCCCATGCTATCAAACTGACCACGCACGACACAGCTGCTGTCTGCAGAATCCGGAGGAAACCAGCTGGGGAAACCCTCACTCCCACGTGCCGCTGGGGTGGGGGGGTGCAAGGCAAGGAAAATAAGCCCACGCGAGGCAGACACACGTGGCTGGATGGTGGCCGCCCGTACACACGTGTGGCGTGAACGTGTTGCTCCTGCCATGTTGCAGACGGCTCCGGCTCTCCGTGGACACCCTGGAGAGACCCCGGCTGAGCTTGAGGGCGGCTCAGGCGTCTCTCACGGGGGGGAGGGTGAGAAGGTTTGGGGAACCGTGGCCGTGGTTGAGGTGAGATCCGAGGACCACACAGAACTCACACGTCCGCACTCCCCGGAGTTCCGGCCACCCCCGACGGCTCACGTCTCCCCCCACAAGGAGAACTTTCCCAGCACGGGGGGTGCCGGGCCCACGTGAGGAGGCCACTTACGTGTAGAAGAAAGTGAGGTTCTCCCCGGAGGGTTCGCTCACGTTCCACGTAACCCGCACGGTCTCGAAGTTGAAGCAGATGATGTGAACCTGCAGCGCTTCTCCTGGGCGGGAAGAGAGGCGAGAAAGTCTATGCAGAGGGCAAGCTGAAAAGAGCGGGGGCGAGGTTTCCAGAGTGAGGTCAGGTGCTCTGGGCGCAAGAACGAGAGCGGAGTGCTGTCAAGGCATAGAGGGAACCAAGGTTTTCGCCGACTGGTTAGTCAGTGATTGCTGCAGAAAGAGCCACAGGGTATATGGCGAGGCTGTTGAGAAAACTCAGTTTCCCTGAGAGGTCATTCCGAGGGGCAATTGCAGCTTGCACAAGGTCATCGTTCAGTGAGATGCGCAGATGTGAGCTCCCACCGAGCGTCCAGTGACAACCATCTTCTGTGGGCCCATAAAGGGACGCAGGGCCTTGTCCCCAGCGACCCAGGTCACTGTCTTCCTCAGAACACCACGCTTGCACCCGGGAGAGCATTTGAAGGACCAGGGAGACCTTCCGTCTCTGCTTCCCAAGTTACTCGGATTTTAATAGGTTTGATCTTCCGAGAGACCCAGGCGTATTGGTTAGTTAGTGGGTATATTCTAGGGTTGAGCAAATACGTGCTGATCATTTAGGATAATGGCAGCCAAGTGTGTCATTGTCAAAGAAGGGAGTTACAGATTTGGAAACAGGGAAGGCCGGGATGAACCTTGTGGAGGCGGGTTAGAAGAGGAGGTCTCGGGGTAGAAGGATACAGGTGGACATGATGGTTACAGATACAGAGAGATATGTTAATAGATAGAATGGTGGACAAATGGATGAATGAATGGATGGATGGATAGATGGATGAATAGATAGGTGGATAGATGGGTGGATGGATAGGTATATGAATGGGTGGATGGATGTGTAGGTGGATTGATAGATGAATGGATGGATGGATGGATGGATGGATGGATGGATGGAGAGATGGATGGGTGGATGGATGGATGGATGGAGAGATGGATGGATGGATGGATGGAGAGATGAATGGGTGGATGGATGGATAGAGATGGATGGATAGGTGGATGAATGGATGGATGGATGGATGGATGGACAGATAGATGGAGAGATGAATGGAGAGATGGATGGATGGGTGGGTAGTGGATGGATGGATAGACAGATGGATGGATAGATGGATGGATGGATGGATGGACGGACGGACGGACAGACGGATGGATGGATGGATAGATGGGCAGATGGATGGATAGATGGGTGGATGGATGGGTGGGTGGATGGATGGATGGATGGATGGATGGATGGATGGATGGATGGATAGGTGGATGGATGGACAGATAGCTGGATGGACAGATTGTTGGATGGATGGATGGATGGATGGATGGATGGATGGATGGATGGATAGATGGAGAGATAGGGAGACAGAGATGAGATAGATTAATGATATGAAAATAGAGGTATCTCTACACACACATATATACATATACATATGCACAATTTCTAATTCTGGCCATTCAGAGCACCCCACGAGGAATAAGCATGCATTATTCATATAGTTATTTCTAAACACACTTCATGAAAAGGGATTGGAGCCTCTGGCTGGAATGGCTAATCCAGGGCTGGCCAGGGAAAGTTCAAAGTGAGCCTGTGACATCTTTTTCTATCTAAGGAATTGCTCAAATAATGATGGAAACATGTTAAAAAGAAGCAAGAATCAGTATGCATCACCCAAATCTAGTGGCCAACTCGGAGTATCAACAAAATAATAATAGTGATAGATGATAATTCATAGAACAAAGTAGGAAATGATGAATGTAATATAAATACAACCTTGATATAACATACTGGTGTAAGTAAATGGATGAATAATGCAGACTGGCACTAATATAAATAAGTTAGTGAATAAATACTATTATATGATAGGATATATAATATAATATGATAAGATATATAATAGCTACATTATCTACAAGAGCCCTATTCCTCACCATACATAAAAGTTAACTCAAGATGGATTAAATACTTTATTAACTGTAAGGCATGAAATCATAAGAACTCTAGAAGAAAACGCAGGGAAAAAATCTCTTCTAGACATAAGCCTAGGCAAAGAACTCATGAATCAAGTGTAGAGTGCAGTAGGAATTAGTAGAAAACTGCACACCCTGACCCCAACTCTTGAGGGAAGGTCTCAGAGCTGGATGTCTTACCTTCAGAGTATTTATGAGATCACATCCCATCTCCTGGTCTGGGATTAACCATGTTTCCCCATCGTGGCTCCTCAGCCATCTATATTTAACCCATTTTCAATCCATGAGTGGATTAATAAAATGTGGTCTATGTACACCATGGAGTTCTACTCAGCCACAATAAACAATGGTGATCCAGCACCTCTTGTGTTATCCTGGATGGAGCTGGAGCCCATTCTCCTAAGTGAAGTGTCACAAGAATGGACAAACAAGCACCACATGGACTCACCAGCAAACTGAAACCAACCAATCAGCATTCATGTGCACATGTGGAAATAACACCCACCAGAAACCAAGCAGGTGGGAGGGGGAGGTGGGGACGGGTAAATTCGCACCTAACAGGTGCAATGCACACTGCCTGGGGGATGGGCACACTCATAACTTTGACTCAAACAGTAAAAAAATCAATTTATGTAACCAAAACATTTGTACCCCTGTCATATTCTGAAATTACAAAAAAAAGAGAGAGAAAAACAAATTTAACCCATTTTCCAGAACCAACCTCATGTTCCACGAAAAAGCCTTTCCCGAGACCTGCAGGCGATACCCCTTTTTCCCTTTCTGTTCACCAGGCCAAAGACCATCTCTACTGTGGACGCCAGCAGAGACCGCCCAGACGGGAGCAAGCAGAGGACGCCCAGTCAGCAGTGGCTCTACCCAGGGCCTTGGCCACTGTCACTGGCATTTGGCAGAGACCCAAAGGCAGGCAAAATGTTGAGAACATTTACTGAGAAGACGCAGTGAGCTCCCAAATGGTTGCAACCAGGTTGTCAAAATGTAGGGTATCGAGAGACTGAATATACAGAGAAACAGCTCAAAAAATAATAAAACCATCTGCAGCCACCAGCCCAGGGCACCAGTCCATCATCTTTCATGACCAGCCCAGGAGATCTGCCCATCATCTGCAGCCACCAGCCCAGGAGACCTGCCCCTATCTGCAGCTAACAGCCCAGGAGACCTGCTTGTCACCTGTAATGACCAGCCCAGGAGACCTGCCGATCACCTGCAGCCACCAGCCCAGGAGACCTGCCCATCACCTGCAGCCACCAGCCCAGGAGACCTGCCCATCACCTGAAACCACTAGCCCAGGAGACCTGCCCAGAAGACCTGCCCAGGAGACCTGCCCATCACCTGCAGCCACCAGCCCAGGAGACCTGCCTGTCACCTGTAGTGACCAGCCCAGGAGACCTGCCGATCACCTGAAGCCACCAGCCCAGAAGACCTGCCCATCATCTGCAGCCACCGGCCCAGGAGACCTGCCCACCATCTGCAGCCACTAGCCCAGGAGACCTGCCCATCATCTGCAGCCACCGGCCCGGGAGACCTGCCCATCATCTGCAGCCACCAGCCCAGGAGACCTGCCCCTATCTGCAGCCACCAGCCCAGGAGACCTGCCCCTATCTGCAGCTAACAGCCCAGGAGACCTGCCCATCACCTGCAGCCACCAGCCCAGGAGACCTGCCCATCACCTGTAGCCACCAGCCCAGGAGACCTGCCTGTCACCTGTAGTGACCAGCCCAGGAGACCTGCCAATCACCTGAAGCCACCAGCCCAGAAGACCTGCCCATCATCTGCAGCCACTGGCCCAGGAGACCTGCCCCTATCTGCAGCCACCAGCCCAGAAGACCTGCCCATCACCTGCAGCCACCAGCCCAGGAGACCTGCCCCTATCTGCAGCCACCAGCCCAGAAGACCTGCCCATCATCTGCAGCCACCAGCCCAGGAGACCTGCCCATCATCTGCAGCCACCAGCCCAGAAGACCTGCCCATCATCTGCAGCCACTGGCCCAGGAGACCTGCCCCTATCTGCAGCCACCAGCCCAGAAGACCTGCCCACCATCTGCAGCCACCAGCCCAGGAGACCTGCCCACCATCTGCAGCCACCAGCCCAGGAGAGGAAGTGTCAGATGTGCCCAGAGTGACCTGTTGGGGTAGGGAAGCTGGAAGTGGCCCCCTAGGAATGGGGTGTCCTATGGGATTGGTTAGGGAGAATATTTGGTTTTCTCTGGCTGGTCTCACTTGTTGGAGGCGGGGATAAAAATTAGGGAAGGTGTCAGTTATTTAGTCACGTCCTGGCCTGTTGGATTGATCATTTCAGATGTTGTTATTTGGCTTCCTTGGTTATCACTGGAGACAGCAGTCTGCATTATAATAGGCGGGTCTCCTGGGCAGGTCTCCTGGGCTGGTGGCTACAGGTGACAGGCAGGTCTCCTGGGCAGGTCTCCTGGGCTGGTGGCTGCAGGTGATGGGCGGGTCTCCTGGGCAGGTCTCTTGGCTGGTGGCTGTAGGTGATGGGCAGGTCTCTTGGGCTGGTGGCTGCAGGTGACAGGCAGGTCTCCTGGGCTGGTCACTGCAGATGATGGGCAGGTCTCTTGGGCTGGTGGCTGCAGGTGACAGGCAGGTCTCCTGGGCTGGCCACTGCAGGTGGTTTTATTATTTTTAGAGCTGTTTCTCTGTATATTCAGTCTCTCGATCCCCTACATCTTAACAACCTGGTTGCAACCATTTGGGAGCTCACCGCGTCTTCTCTGCACCCTTCACGACCAGTGTCCTTGCTCTCGTGTTCTTCCTCCAATGTGGTGGACATCCTGAACCATCCGCCACACCCAGCCCTGGTCCAAGCATGGGAGAAATTTTCACAAAAGACACACTGAATGGGGAAAAAATGGGAAAACAAGGGTGCATGGAGCTCTTTGGTCAGGACCTCCTTATGAGACTCTGGGTCTATCCCAAGTTCTGGAATCTGAGGGTCAAAATGGGGGGGGGGTGTAAATATTCTTTGAATGCATAAGAAGAAAGTCCTTCTGGGGGCCTGAGGTGTATGTGCCGGCTATGATTCACG